TTTGTTTTTTCGAGGGTTTAGTCGGCCGGGGGGGGGGGGGCACCCACAATGGAGCTGCTTCAAGGAAGGGCACGATGAAAAACTACTCAGTAAACTGTCCAGTTTGGTCTTCTGTGCAAGGGTGTGCCTGCAGCATTGTCATGCCACAAGTTGTGGCTGTGGCTCCCAAGCCAGGCACTGGAGATGGTTGGGGGGGGGGAAGCGGGACAGCACTACGCATTATCCCACCCATACAGAGGGGGCCAAGGGCCTCCCTTGCTTCAGGGCAGCGGGGGATTCACAGTACTGGGATCCTTGATGTAATGCTCAGCCCCATGCGGATCGATAGACCCAGAGAATGAGGCCAGGTTCAGAAAAAAGCGGAACCCCACCAGGTCTGCAGAAAGATGTGAACCCCCCAAAATGGAGGATAGGGGGTTTAAACCCCCCCCCTCAAGACAGGAAGGCTGCCTGCACTCATCAGACAAGGGAATGGAGTGTTGTGGGGTGGGTGGTGGGGCAGGAGGTGCCTCTGCAGGTGTCAAGGATTTAGGTGGTGGTGGTGGGGAATGAGGAGGGGAGGTCTAGAGTCAGGTGGGTGAGGAGGGGACCTGGAGCTGCCCCACGGCCCCCTCCCTGCTGCATTCACCAGGCAGCCGTTGTGCGGGGGTAGGCTGGTGGGTGGGCCGACTGCTGAGTGGGTGGTCCACCAAGGGTGGGATTCATTCCCCCCTTGCTAACACTAACATGTGAGTGACAGACACATGTTGCCCACCTGTCCAACGTGTTCCTTGGGCCCACAGACGTTTCTCTCTCTCCCTCTCACCATTCTGCAGAGGTCTCCCTGGATACAGATTCAAGCCGCTCCGGAACCGTGACAAAGAGAGTTGCCGATAAGGTAGAGAAGACCGAGTCTTGGAGTGCTTTAGCCAGAGCTCGCTCACTGGTCCCAGGGCACACGGCTCTGTGGATTCCCTTTGCCACCAGCCCCACATCCAGCTGACGTGCGAGGGTGACCCCTGTGCAGGCGGCTCCTGAATCCAGTCTTTCCTGGGACCCCCGGGCAAGTAGAATCGGAGGGGTCAGTCTGAGGGGGGTGTCTGTCGATCTTGTTCAGCACCATGTCAAGGCTGGAGTCGAGTCCTTGGTATAAGCCCCCCAGGCAAGGCAGGAAGGGCAGCAGGGGGCGCGCGGACCCAGGTAAAAGCGGCCGGGCAAGGCAGGCCGGAGCGCTTGAGGGCCTCAGAGGAGCCCTTATGTGTTTCCTTTGTGACCACAGGAACAACAATGTCCATTTTCAGTGGTGGGATTCCTTGGGGCTTTTGCTCAATTTCACTGTGTGAATTTGAGCATATTTACAAGGACGGGCGATTAACAGGGAAACGTCACCTTGTGGTGTCGCTTCCCTGTAAACAGGCTCATGCAAGCTCAGCTCGGTTGATTCATGCAGATTTGTTCAAACTCTGCATAATTCTTCCCAGCAGCAAAGACCAGCTTGACCATTAGCCACTGTGAGAGGGGCACTGTTTTTCGTGACCCCCCCCTCCAAAAGTGACAGGCGGAGGCTGCGTGGAAGCCCTGGTGGCAGGCGGGGGGTGCCGCGACGTCTTTGTGCCGGCCAGGCCTGCCTGCCACTGATCTTTGCCTCTGCAGAGGACGTGGACGTGGGGCCCGGAAGGCAAAGGAGCCATCCTCTTGGTGAACTGCGACAGAGACAGGCCCCGGACACAGGGGCTGGACTGTCAAGATGAAAAGGTGGAATCGGAAGAAGGTCAGTGACCACCTGAGGCCATGAAACCTTGTGTGCTTTTTGTTTGCCCCCCCCCCCGCCCCCGGGGCAGGTTCATAGCTCAGGGACGTTGCTGATCCTGGATCAGGTCTCCTCCGTGGCATTCCTTGGTGTATAGATCAGTCACGGCCATTCCTAAAAAAGCCATGGTGATCCATACTCTGAGCACATCCAGTTTAGATGATTGTAACACTCTCTCTATGAGGCAGCCAGGCTGGGCATGAGGTCACACATCGCTCGTGAAAGACCTACACTACCTGCCCGTTTTCCCCAGGTACCGTTCAAGGGCTGGTTCTTATCTTTAAAGCCAGAAAGGGCTTGAGGCGGGGGTCCCTGAAGGGCCGCCTCCTCCTGCACTGTCCAGCCTGCCAGAGAAGGCCTTCCTCCTCACACCTCCTGCCCTCTTTGCCTGCTGGAGTGAGGCTGCTGGGGACCAGAGTCAGGGCTTCTTCTGTGGCGGCCTCTCACCTTTGGGATATCCTCTCCACTGAGGCTCACCTGGCATGCGCCAAACTCTCTTTTAGGCGCCGGGCCAAGACGCTTCTTTTTACTCAAGACTTCTAACCGAGGGGCTCCTTCTGTTTTAGCCGTTTTAACCACAGGAGTGTCTCGCGAACATCACTTCGGGCTGCTAAATGTTGCTTTCTGCTGTTCCTATAGCCTGTTTTATGGCTTCTTAGACAGACTGCTTTATTATTGTATGGTCAGCAGACCATTCAGTAACACATTCATTAAAATAAAACACAGTATATGTGTATGATTAACAGGGTTCTTTCCATACCCAGGATCTCGTTTCAGTGGCTACATTCAAAGTGAGAGCTAGTTTCCAGGGATGTGCACACTCTCCCCAGCAAGAAGAAGGGCCACGGGCTATTCAGTTGGTACCACAGCCAGGAGTGGAGCAGTCACGTCATCTCTCACTCCTTCATGATAATTATAGACCACCACCACACAGGATAGTGTCGATCACCCCAGCAGCATAAGGACACAGGCAACCATTTGAAGGGATTTAGTTATGGATTTGTTTATGTCATTCATCATCCACCTGTCTTGCTGAGACTCAAGGCAGATTACAGGATACAAACTGTGCGGTCCGACAGTATAAAACAACCATGCGGATAGTTCCAGAGGGTAGCCGTGTTGGCCTGCGGTAGAAGAGCTGGATTCGAGTCCAGTAGCACTGTACAGACCAGCAAAATTCTTGGGGGAAGAACTTTGACTTTGGAAAGCTTATATCCTGAAGATTTTGTTGGTCCCTGAAGTGAGATTGGATTCGAATCTAGCTGTAAAACAACTAATGAACAATGCGAGAGGACTAGGATTACAGGATTAGAAAACAATGCAAACAGCAAACTCTCTAAGGTAAAGTAGAAAGTGCATTACAAGGTAAAGATCATGCAGGAAAAGCCAGATATTACCTAGAATAATCATTGCAGGGGACTACAATCCAGTTCCATTATAAATGTGCCCAGCTGAACCGGCCCCTTCTGCTACAGTTCTAACCTCCTTTTAAAAAACGGCCACTGGAACATTATGGTTTTGCCACATTCTGCAAAATGACACAAAGCGTGGGCTTGTAATGACCCTCGAGGACTGCTGGCAGGAAAAGTGGCCCATTTGTATGGCTTATCGTCAATCGTTTGTCTGCTGTCGTTTTTATGACTTCACTGTAGTGTTTCTACTTTGTGAGCTGGTTGAGGTGGCGGGCACCTGGAGAGGTGGTGGACACACGTTTGTCAGGCTCACTGTAATCCTGTGGGGGGGGGGGGCAGGACTGGTCAGCAGAGTCTTCCTGATTCTCCAAAGCCTTTCCCAGAAAGGGATGGGGAGGACCGGGTTCCGCACCCGGGGGGGCTATTAAACCCGACCACGGCCAGTCCTAAGACGCCCGCAGCCCTGCAAGGGAGACGTTTCCCTGTTGCCTCCTGCTGCAGCTGATGTCTGATTTCCTCTCCAGACCTCAAGGACATGTCAGTTATGATTCTGACAACACGAGGACCTGTTGACATTTTCAAGAAGTACCAGCTGGTTCTCCACGTCTCAGTCTCTGAGAAGGACAAAGTGAGGGTCTTCCAGGCGCAGGGTGAGTGTCTGCCGAGCTCTCTGGCCTCATGGTCGCCCGGCGTCTTTGCTCTTCACAAAAATGGCCGAGTCCTGCATAAGGAGAGGGCGTGGCGTGGCCTGTTTCTCCAAGGGGATGTGACCTTGGCACTGAAGTTTTCTTCTACAAACAGAAGTTTCTCCTCAGTCCACCTGGCTGGCATCCGGGAGAGCCAGTTTGGTGTGGTGGTTAAGTGCGCGGACTCTAATCTGGGAGAACCGGGTTTGATTCCCCACTCCTCCAGATGCAGCTGCTGGTGTGACCTTGGGTCAGTCACAAGTTCCTTCAGAGCTGTTCTTTCAAGGGCAGTCCTAGAGAGAGAGCTCTCTCAGCCTCACCTACCTCACAGGGTGTCTGTTGTGGGGAGGGGAAGGGAAAGTTGATTGGAAGCCGCTCTGAGGCCCCGAGTGAAGGGCGGGGTATAAATCCAATCTCCTCTTCTCTTCTTTCACAGCTGTTTTGAGCCATTCTGAGACTCCTTTGGGTAGTGGAGGAGATTGGATTTATCCCCCGCCCTTCACTCGGAATCTGAGTGGCTTACAAACTCCTTTCCCTTCCCCTCCCCACAACAGACACCCTGTGAGGCAGGTGGGGCTGACAGAGAACTCTTTCCAGAACTGTCCTTGAGAGAACACCTCTGACAGAACTATGGCTGGCCCAAGGTCATCCAGCAGCTGCAAGTGGAGGAGTGGGGGATCAAACCTGGTTCTTCCAGATTAGTGTCCGCGCACTTAACTACCACACCAAACTGGCTCTCTAGTGAAGGGTGGAGCATTAATCTGATCTCCTCTTCTTCTTCTAGCATCCCACATTCCCCCACATAGCTGCTGCCTTGCGGGATCAGGCCAACCTAGTGATGATGGATCAGGTCCACCTAGTCCGCCATATTATTTTATTAAATTTCCAGTAGGAGCCAAATGCCCTGATGTGGGTAGCCTGATCTTGCTAGATCGTGGAAGCTAAACAGGGTGGGCAGTATTTGGGATGGGGGACCTCCATGGAATAGCAGGGCCTTGGCATACCACCTCTCAACGTCTCTTGCCTTGGAAACCGCACGGGGTCGCCACAAGTCAGCTGTGACTTCAGGGCAGTTTCCATCACCACGGGGCACGAGGGCAGGGGTCTTCCACTTCCTCTCTCCCCAGTGTCCGGCATTCAGAGGTATACTGCTCCCAAACATGGAAACTCCATGTAGCCTTGGTAGCTACTGCTTGTTGACAAACCTTTCCTCAATAGACTTTTAAGTCCTCTGGGTTTTTTAATGCCACCTAGATTAGTGGCTTCGTCTTCTGGCACTGAATTCCTTAGGTGTACGTATGAGAACAAAGGTTGCCCGTGTTTGCAAAAAGGGATCCTTCCCCCAGTTCCGACCAGGTGGGAGAGGTTATTTTGTGGGGGAATCCCTGTGTTTGCTTTGCAGAGGGGAGGGAGGTGAGCCAGTACAAGGCCGTGCTGGGGCCGAGGAACGCCTCCTGCGAGGTGAAGGGCAGCAGAGACCAAGAGGCTGTTTTCTACGTGGAAGGGCTGGCCTTCCCCGATGTCGACTTCTCAGGACTGGTCTCCTTCCACGTCACGCTGCTAGAGAACCCGTCGAAGGTATGGAGGCATACGCCAAGGAGCCTTGTGGTGCCCGCTTTGAGAAGGGGCGCAGGAGGGAGAATTCTGGCAGGGCCGTGCATGGGCTCCTCAGTGCTAACTCTGACGGAGAAGAAGGATGGAGACAGAATAATACAGAGCCAGGGCAGGATGACGGTGTGGGCTCAGAAGAAACGGGGCACTGACTCTAGTGCAAGTTGGCTGCAAAACCAGGAGAAACCAAGCCAGCGTTGGTAGCTAAGAGCCCTGTCTGTGGGTAGAGGAGGACCAGAGCAAGTCGGACTCAGACCCTTTTTCTTATGGGGTGGTGACACAACAAAGCCGTCGATAGTTTAGGGTTTGGGGCATTCTGCCCAAGCACTGGGGGAGACTCACTGTGCCCTGGAATACCTGTGGGAGGAAAGGGGCTGCTACACGTGCTCTTTTGCGGAAGGATTTATATCACTGGCCGAATCAAGTGGTCAAGCAGTTACTGGGCAGAGAGAAAGGGAGAGAGGGAGGGCGGGAGAGTGGGCACTGCAAGTTGGGAAAAAAACCCGGCTAAAAATCTCTTGCATCGAAAAGCCTCTGATGTGCTGTTTTTCTCCAGGCAAAGAGTTCATACATGTCCCTGCCCACCTCAGCAGCACCCGCAGCCTGAAATGGGATAATTCAGGGCATCCTTGCCTCTTGGTTCTGTGCAGAGGCCTTGAATCTTCATTCCTGGCTTCTAACACAGTCCTTTGTGGATCAAGGGAGCCATGCTTGCCAACACTTTTTTCCCTCCTCCCCCTGCATTCCCCTCCCCGTGACAGAAATTTCCTGCGACTCCCATTTTCAGCGACTCGGTGGTTTTCCGTGTTGCTCCGTGGATAATGACCCCCAATACCTTGCCACCGAGAACAGTGTACGTCTGCAGGTAAGAGATTTTCTACAAACAAGTTTCGGTTGGTGTGCTGGCATTTTTTTGCACCAGGCCCAAATTCTGGGCCCAGCATTTTTCGTTCATTTGGTTAATCGAAACTGCAAACCCTTCCCTCTCTCAGAAACTGAGCCAGTTTGGTGTAGTGCTTAATCTGGGGGAACCGGGTTTGATTCCCCACTCCTCCACTTGCACCTGCTGGATGACCTTGGGCAAGCCATAGCTCTGATAAGAGCTGTTCTTGAAAGAGCAGTTTCTGTCACAGCTCTCTCAGCCCTGCCTACCTCACAGGGTGTCTGTTGTGGGGAGGGGAAGGGAAAGTTGATTGGAAGCCACTCTGAGGCCCCGAGTGAAGGGCGGGGTATAAATCCAATCTCCTCTTCTCTTTTTTCACAGCTGTTCTCTCAAGGGCAGTTCTCTCAAGAGCTCTCTCAGCCCCACCTACCTCACAGGGTGTCTGTTGTGGGGAGGGGAAGGGAAAGGAGTTTGTCAGCTGCTCTGAAGGGCAGGGTATAAATCCAATCTCTTCTCCTCTTCTTCTTCTTTGCGTGTGGCTTGCTTTCAGTTTCCTCACCTTCTCATTCTGATACCCAGCATTAGCGACAGTGATGAATTTGTGGACGAGGTGCTGGAGCTTGCCGAAAGCAGAGGCTACAGCTGCTTGGTGGAAGCAGTGGAAGAGTTGCACAGAGAGAGCGAGAACCCCGGCGTGGTGACCGACGTGTGCAGGCTGGTCAGGAAGACCAACGACAGGGACTTCGTGGTGGCTGTGAGCAAGCTGGCCAGGGAGAGCAAGAACACAGACTTTGTGGGTGCTGTGAAAGAGCTGACGTGGAAAGCTGGCTGTGCTCTGACGGTCTGCGAAGGAGAGAAGAACCACGGAGATCGCTGGATCCAGGTGACTGCGGGAATGGAGGCAGAGCTGCAGCTAGGCTGACGGGCCGGCAGATCATGTTGGATAAGGTGCAGCCCCAGGGACTGGGGGCAGCTCCTGGGTGTCCCCCCCCCCCAGCAATCACAGTTTGTGGATAGGAAAGCATTCCTTGCAGTGCCGAGTGCAGACGGGAGCCGGTTTTCCAAGTGTATCAGCTTTCCTGCGTTTTGTGTGCACATATAATACACTTTACAAGGATACAAGAAATTAGCATGCTTTCCTATGTGCCAATTATTGCCTTGTAACAAAGGCATTGAAGTGCCCTGGGGAGTCATCAGTAGAGAAAACGGGTGTCGTGAGGCTCTGAGATGGAGCTGAGATTCGGGGCGTTTCGGGACAGACTTGCCCCAGTGGTTTTAAGGGTGTGGGTACCGGAGACTGTTGCTGCTGTGCTCACCGCTCGGCATGAGGAATTAAGGAGCGTCTCTCTCTCTCTCTCTCGTTTCATCTGCCGGAACAGGACGAGATGGAGATCGGCTACGTGCAGGCTCCCCACAAAGGGTTTCCGGTAGTCTTCGACTCCCCTAGAAACAGAGAGCTGAAGGATTTCCCCTTTAAAGACCTCTTGGTATGTGGTTGAGCTCCCTGACCCTTCGTGCCTGGGGCCTCCTGGCTAGAGAAACGGTGACATTTGCATGTAAGGGCCTGAGAATGAGAAATGGTCAAAGAGAAGTTCTCCCGTCTTGAGGACATCCAACTTGGGCTTTTGTCATTCGAAAGCTGGGATATTCTTGGGATGCTGCTGGAGCCCTTTGCTGGCAGAGGCGGCTGGGCAGCAAGGGCAGACTGGACATTAGAGCCCCTGCCGGTGGGACCACACTGACTCTGAGGTGGGGACAATGGCAGCCGGCCGGTATGAGATGAGTTGGATCTTGCGTGGCCACCGAAAAGTGCAAGACGCTGCTGCAAGCCTGCTCCTTCGCTCTTTCCTCTGCTGCGAGTGCAGGCCTTTGGTGGAGTGGCTAAGTGCAGGCGGACTCTAATCTGGGAGAACTGGGTTTGATTCCCCACGCCTCCACTTGCACCTGCTGGATGACCTTGCGCAAGCCATAATTCTGGCACAGCTGTTCTTGAAAAAAGAGCAGTTTCTGTCAGAGCTCTCTCAGCCCCGCCTGCCTCACAGGGTGTCTGTCTGTTGTGGGGGGGGGGGGAGGGAAAGGAGTTTGTAAGCCGCTCTGAGACTCCTCCGGGGAGTGAAGGACGGGGGATAAATCCAACCTCTTCTCTCTTCTTCTCCCCTCCCTCCATCGGGGGCCTTGTTCCAGGGCAGTTTTGCCTCCCGTTCCCCTTCTTGGCCCATTCTGCATCTAGCACTCTCTCCATTGTTTTACCAAACCCACACTGGAACAGGAAAAGATGCAGCTCAAAACCACATTCAGGTACCCCCGGCCAACGCCATACTGACTGCAGAGTCACCCCTGAACGGCCACAAAATGGCCATAAATCTATCCAGACGGCTTCTATAAAACTGAGAGATCAAAGGAAGTGAAACCAGCATGCAGACTGGACACTGCCATCAAATCCAACAATCGCAGTGAAAGGGGCGTGCAACCGTAGAGGGGAATTTCCTCTTCAACCATAGGTTTGGTAAAACAGCGGAGCAAATGCTAGATGCAGAATGGGCCCTTGGGTGCAAGTCAGAGGCATCCCTCTGCACAGCTGGCTGGTGAATAATTTGCAATGCCACTCCTTTTGCCATTGGTCTGCTGAATCACACTGAGGTGTGTCCATGGATGCTCCTTTGATGCTCAGAGGCAAGGCCTGAAATTGATTACTAATGTCAGCTGTTTAAACTGGTAGAATGCCACCAAACTCCATTCTGGTTCCACTTTAGCTCTCTTCACTAACAGCTGCCGACGGCCATGAATTTGCCCTGCAAAGACCGGCTGTAGCCACTGTGGCCGTTGCAGCACTTTCCTTTCACGCCGCTATTTGCTATACCCGTGGAGATGAGAATGATCTAACTCTGCTCTCATTTGCACCCATGAAAGGGCCCGGATTTTGGTTATGTGAAACGAGAGCCGGCTACTGATCAAGTTGCCTCACAACTGGACTCCTTTGGAAACCTGGAAGTCAGCCCCCCGGTGACCGTCAAGGGCAAGCAGTACCCCCTGGGGAGAATCCTCATCGGCAGCTACATCTCCAGGTGAGTGAGCGTTGGGCTCTGTTGATAGGAAGTGCTGTTGAAGCACCACTGACTTGTGGAAACCCCGCAGGGTTTTCAAGGCAAGAGATGTTTAGAGGTGGGTTGCCATGGCCTGCCTCTGTGTAGAACCCCTGGACTTCCTTGGAGCAGTGTTCCCTCTAAGCTGAGCTAGTTGTGAGCTTGTTGTTGTTGTTCAGTCGCACAGTCGAGTCTGACTCTTCGCGACCCCATGGACCAGATCCCGCCAGGCCTTCCTATCTTCCGCCGTCCTCTGAAGTTGGCGCAACTTCATGTTCATTGCATCTATGACACTGTCTAACCATCTCATCCTTTGCCGTCCCTATCTTCTTTGACCTTCAATCTTTCCCAGCGTCAGGGTCTTCTTCTCCAGTGAGGGCTCCCTTCTCATTGGGTGGCCAAAGTCTTGGAGCTTCAGTTTCATTATCTGGCCTTCCAGGGAACAGTCAGGGTTGATTTCCTTTAGGATTGACTGATTTGATCTCCTTGCAGTCCAGGGGACTCTCAAGAGTCTTCTCCAGTACCCTAGTTCAAAAGAATCTATTCTTCGGCATAGTTTTTTAGCCTCAGGCTCACAGCGAACTAATTGATGCAGGAGCCAAATCACTTGCTCATAACTTTAATGCCAGCACCTCACAGAGTAGAATTTTTGCTCACAAGACTCTACAGCTTAGAGGGAGCATTGCCTTGGGGGGGGGGGGAGGTCTCCCACCCAAGAACTAACCAAGCCTGACCCTGCTTAGCTTCCAACATATGAGGAGATCAGGCTAGCATGGGCCATAGAGGCCAAGGCAGAGACAAACGGAGGTGGTTTGCCCTTGCCTGCCTCTGCATAGCAACCCTGGACTTCCTTGGTCTCCCATCCAAGTAATAACCAGGGCCAACCCTGCTTAGCTTCCGCAATTGGGCTAGCCTGGGCTTCTGTTGGGGGACAGGAGTCACTTGAGCGGGTTTAGCAGACAGCTGGCCCGCTCATCACCCTGGCCGTGTGGGTGTGGCTGAGTCAGGGCTCGCATGGGAAAACGCTTCCTTCCATGATGCATCATCAACTTGTGGAACTCGGTGCCACAGGATGGGGTGGATGCCCCAGGGCTTAGACAGCTGGAAAAGGGGATCAGGCAGACGAATGGAATGGAGGAGAGGCCTCCGGCACAGCCTACTTGCCATGAGGGCTAAACGGAACTGCCAGCCTCTGAATACCTGGGTGGGGCGGGGGAAACACAAGAAGAGGTGGTTTTGGTCTCCATGCTGTTTGCAGGCCTCCCGGGGCTACCCAGTGGGTCACTGTGGAAAACGGGATGATGCTGGACCAGACGGGCCACCAGTCTGACCAGCAGGGCTCTCCCCTTGCTTTTAAATCTGTTCCTCTCTCTCTCTCTCTCTCGTCTGCCACTCTGCCATGAAGCAGAGGCCCCTTCAGTCATTGTGCATGACTGGAAAATGTGTGTGAAGCAGGAGCAAGGAAAGACACCACGGCGGTGAAGAGGCCGTCCACGGATTTCTCCAGGGAAATGCAGACCACCCTGGAAATGGGAAGAGGTAGCTGGTGCCAGCACTGGGCTGGATGCAGCCCTTAAACGACCACTGCTTGTCTTTGCTTAACAGGGCAGAAAACCGAGAGATGTTTAAGGTCGTCCGGGACTTCCTCTTTGCCCAGCAGGTGCAGTCTCCTGTGGAGCTGGATTCGGATTGGCTGGTTGTGGGGCACGTGGACGAGTTCCTGACTTTTGTCCCGGCTCCTGATCGAAAGGTAGGTATGAAAATATCCCCTGACCTCTGCCCTGCATAAAATATGCTAATGGTGCAGCTTTATTTATTTATTCCTTTTCTTAAAATTTCTACCCCGCCCTCCCAGCCAAGGGTGGCTCAGGGAGGCTCACATAAAGAAGAAGAAGAAGACGAAGAGATTGGATGTATACCCCCATGGCCCTTCACTACCCCCAAAGGAGTCTCAGAGCGGCTGACAAGCTCCTTTCCCTTCCCCTCCCCACAACAGACACCCTGTGAGGTGGGTGGGGCTGAGAGAGCTCTGACAGGAACTGCTCTTTCAGGAACAAGCTGTGCCAGAACTGTGGGTTGCCCAAGGTCATCCAGTGTTGGAGTATTTTATGAAATTCAGCAGAGTTAAAAAAAACAGCTTAGCAATGCCAGAGTTCAATAATCAGACCCAGAGTCCATGTGTGTTTAAAATATAAAAGTTTACTACAATTCTACCATAGGGAAGGGTAACTTGGGAGAAAACAACAACAGCTATATAAGCTACATCCTCTCACTAGACTAGAAGAACTGTAATGGCCTCTGTAGCATGCTCCTTCTTCAAGACAAACAAAGAGGGGAAGAGAGGCCATAAAATGCAAAGACACTAACACTTTGCTTCCAATCAAACTCTCAGAACAGGGATGCTTTTCGCAGGCTAACAGACTTAAGCTAACATTGGCTAACACAAAGGCAGGTGACTTCCTGTAACAACAAAACAGACATTTAACCCCATACACACACACATTGAGTGTTTTCAACATGCAAATACCCAACATCCAGCCAGGTGCAAGTGGAGGAGTGGGGAATCAAACCCGGTTCTCCCAGATTAGAGTCCGCGCACCTAACCACTACACCAAACTGGCTTGTTTTTGTAATGTTCTATTTCCCCATTTTTATATAAAGCTTTCTGATTGGGGGTGGGGTGGGGTTGCGAGAGTAGCAAGGACACTGAAGCCCCACCCCCCGCACCTGAAAACCTTATTCATGCCCTCTTTGAGGTTTTTGGCAGGCACTGCACGTATAGACCCCAGGCCCAAGAGCTAAAAAACTGCATCTGGTGTCTAAAATGAAACTGGTGGATACGAACAGCACCTGCCCAACTCATGTGCATTCTATCTTGGGGCCCCTTCCGTGTGGAACGGCCTGACTAAGGGGGTCAGGGAGCGCCCCACCCCCACCCCGTTCTGCAGAATGTGCAAAACAGACATATCCAGGAGGCATTTTTATACAGGGATTTGAACCATGCTGGGACAGGGCAGGAGGCTGTTTTTTTTTAATAAGGTAAAAGGATTGCAGAATCTCGCAGTGTGTGTTGCATGCAACACCTTCCTTTACCTGCATAGTCTTCTACCTTTGTAACTCGCTTTCTGCACTATGGGATGTTACACCTCAGACAACTTGTTGGTAGCAGTGCTTCCCAGTTCTGGAATCCCACTCCAACGGCCTTGTTTATTGGAGGTCACGGCTGTTTGCCTGTGCTTATTCCTATACTCTGTAATCCAACTCCAGTTTCTCCAAGAAAAGCAGCCTGTAACTGACATAAATGAAATAAAGATTTCAAACACATGATGTACCTAGAATCAAGATGAGCAGACAGCACTCAGTGCTCTTTGTCCCAAGATTCTTCAGTCTGAGTCATGACTGTGGGTTGTACAGATGTCTGCACCTCTTTGTGGAGGGACGTGATCCGTTTATCTCACTCCTGCGACTTGGAGGTGCAAGGGATCCGAGGGCACACGGGGGCCCAGCGTTCTCTTTCACGTGAACAATGTCCTGCTTTTGCTGTTACCCAACTATGCTTATTTGCACTTATGAAGCCTTCTCTCCTGTCCGACTGAAACGACTGATTGCATCTCCTCTCTCTGCAACTGTCATCCTTCCCTTGATTCCTGCCTTAACTCCAGGGCAGGGAAACCTGACAGACAAGCTAGGCAGGCAATCGATTAGGCATGCAAATGCCTGGAGACAGAACCTTGACTCTCCTTTGCCGCTCATGGGCTCACTGAGGGGGGCACGGCGAAGGACGGGCTGCGTCTCGTAGGTAGGGGCACCTGCTTGGCACGCAGGAGGCCCCACCTCCAATCCCTGGCATCTCTGGAAGAAAGGACCGGGTACGAGGTGATAAGGAAGACCGCTGTCTGGGACCCGGAGAGCCACTGCCAGTCTGAGTAGACAGCGGTGAGACACTGATTGACTCAGGGTCTAAGTCCGTGTCAAGCAGATTCATGTGGTGAAAACTCTGCTGGATCCAGAATTAGGCTTGGAAAACGGAACAGAAGAGCCCTGCTGGGTCAGACCGGCGAGGGTCCGTCTAGTCCAGCATCCTGTCCCACAGAGCAGCCAACCAGTCGAGGCCCATCATCAGGGCACAGAGGCCGAGGCCTTCCCCCGATGTTTCATACATCGGTTAGAACTGACCTATGTTCCATTAAGAAAAGGCTTTAAGGTGGGGTGGGGAGGTGCGCTCCAATGGATTCTCCTCTGTGTTAATGCTTCGTTTATTTATTCATTTGATTTTTATCCCGCCCTCCCCGCCAAGGCAGGCTCAGGGTGGCTTACATAAAACAGCGGTAACTGAACAACAACATAAATATCAGCATAAAATACACACATGGTTGCTAAAAACAATTTACATAACGACGGTGGTACAGTACCCGTCACACATGGAATTCACTGCCACAGGAGGTGGTGGTGGCTACAAGCATGGACAGCTTCAAGGGGGAATTAGATAAGCATCTGGAGCAGAGGTCCATCGGTGGCTATTAGCCTCAAGGTATAGATAGGAACTCTCAGGCTGGGGCAAGGGATGCTCTGTATTTTTGGTGCTTGGGGGGGCAACAGAGGGAGGGGCTTCTAGTGTCCTCCTGGCCCCACTGCTGGACCTCCTGATGGACCCTGGTATTTTTGGCCACTGTGGGAAACAGAGTGTTGGACTGGATGGGCCTTTGGCCTGATCCAACATTGGCGTCTCTTATGTTCTTATGTCCAGCCCTATCTCTTTCCTGCTTCTCTCCCCCCCCCCCACTCACCGCCTGCCCTCTTTGGCTTCCAGGGTTTCCGCCTGCTCCTGGCCAGTCCCACCGCCTGCTACAAACTGCTGAAGCAGAAGGAGCAAGAGGGCTACGGAGACGCGCTCATGTTTGAAGGTAGGTGAGGGGGTTCTTCTGGCTGAAGCCTTCAGAAAGGACGATCTTGCTTCCCTAGAATTCGTAGTGGACTGTCAGCCATCCAGCTGTGCTTAGCTCGACAGAACCAAAAGTCATTAGAAAAATATCCCAAGCCTACAAAGAGAGAAGCCACGTTCAGCTCAGACTCAGAATAATCTGGTCTCTAGGGCAAGCAAGAACCGTCACCAGAACATGCTCATGCCAAACCTTACAGGCCATCAAGGGAAGAGAACTTGGCCACAGTGGCATGTTGATCAGCAGGCCTTATAGTACATGTTCTCTCTAAGTAAGCCAAAAGCACAGCTTGACAACTCTGCATTGGGGGAACTTTTAGGAGTTGTTGTTGTTCAGTCGCACAGTCGAGTCCGACTCTTCGCGACCCCATGGATCATCTCCCGCCAGGCCCTCCTGTCTTCCGCCGTCCTCTGAAGCTGGCTCAATTTCATGTTCGTTGCATCGATGACACTGTCTAACCATCTCATCCTTTGCCGTCCCCGTCTTCTTTAGGAGTAGAAGATGTGAAAGCAGGTGGGCACAATTGTGCTGGATAACCCCATACCAGGGGAAAAGGCAAGCATTTGAGCAGCCTACAAGAATGCCTTTTGTTTCTGATGAATCTCCTAAATAGCAGAGGATCTAAGTTTGCTAAGAGGACCAGAAAGAGTGAACAGGCGTTACACTCTCTGTGTAGGTGAGGATAGAGTACCAGGCGTCTACACACACACTGTGGTGTAACAGACTGAGCATCAGAACAGGACCAGAGCCCAGCCTTGAAGGTGACCATAGGCTAGGCACACACCCTCTTGGCCTGGTCTACTCCACAGGATTGTTTTGAGGAGCGCAGAATCACACACACGATGCCCAGCACTCCTTGGGGAAGGGGCAGGATAAAAGGGCCAGCTTCTGTTTATGGGGCCTCCTGTAGCCCATGATTATTCAGAACATCCTCCACCTTCAATTGACTAAGCTGAAAAACCGGAAAAACAGTATAAGAAGAAGACTGGATTTATACCCCCCACCCTTCACTACCCAAAGGAGTCTCAGAGCGGTTTACATTCCCTTCCCCTCCTCACAACAGACACCCTGTGAGGTAGGTGGGGCTGAGAGAGCTCGCTCAAGAACTGCTCTGAAAGAACTTGTAACTGACCCAAGGTCACACCAGCAGCTGCATGTGGAGGAGTGGGGAATTAAACCCGGTTCTCCCAGATTAGAGTCCGCGCACTTAACCACTACACCAAACTGGCCTCTAAGATGAGTTAGTGTGAGCTAGCTCACAGTTTTTTAGCCTCCAGCTCATACATTTTCGTCTTAGCTCAGGAAGGGATGACTCCAGAGCAAACTATTTCATGCGGCAGCCAAATGGCTCGCTCACAACTTTAATGCCAGTCGCTCACAAAGTAGAATTTTTGCTTGTCCAGTGTTCCCTCTAAGCTGAGTTAGTGTGAGCTAGCTCACAGTTTTTTAGCCTCCGGCTCACACATTTTTGTCTTCGCTCAGGAAGGATGGCTCCAGAGCAAACTGATTTATGCAGCAGCCAAATCGCTCGGTCATAACTTTAATGCCCGTAGCCCACAAAGTAGAATTTTTGCTCACAAGACTCCACAGCTTAGAGGGAGCCCTGGTGGGGAGACCCGGGGGGGTTAAAACAGACCTCCTGCAGGGTCCCCCACAGCACAGGTAGGGCTGACCCAGCCAGGCAGATAAAAGTGGAGAATGGCATCTATGGCCTGCCCCAGGAAGATACCCAGAGGAAATGGAAGCTGGATTTGACCATAAATCCAGCAGTTTCCATCCTGAACATCTGGGGTTTGGTCTCCAGCTTCTCATTGGTAGAACAGCTAAGGAAGACGCTTGGCTGTGGGACTAAGAGGAGACTCAGCAGAGAGCAATGCCTGGTAGGTTCATAAGATGGCTCCTGACTTGGGGACTGGCCGGGCCTCAAGGGGTTTTATATCTCAGATGAGGATTAACCAAGCAGCAATGCCACTCTCGTTACAGGGAAACTGGATACTTGCAGTCAGGTCAAAATAAAAAGTATTCTGGCTGACCGAGATTTGAAGAGCAGCAATGAGTATTTCCAGGTAACCCCCCCCACACACACACAATTAGCTGTGCCGGCAGGCATTTGGGGTTTCCAGGGACGGCCAAGGGCAGCACTGGTGTCCTGGGTCTACACAAGCAGCAGAATGAGAATGTGGACGGCCGAGGGGGTAGAGGTGCCCTGGCAGGGGGGCAGCGCTTGAGATGCCCTCCCCATAGAAGAGGGTCCTTTCTCCCGCCACAGACCCTTGCCCCCTTGTTCTCCACCTCTCCTTTGATACATGGCTGGGGGAGGGACCGCTTGGCACTGGCCCGAGGCCACAGCAGCATTTGCTTTCCCTCCTCTCCAGAAATGCATCGACTGGAACCGGGACATCCTCAAGGAGGAGCTGGGGCTGACCGAGGAAGACATCATCGACCTCCCCCAGCTGTTTACGCCCGAGGATCCTTCTGGCCAGGCTGCTGCGTACTTCCCCAACATGGTAAGACTCTGCCGGCGCTTTCTTTTCTCGGATGCCGACTTTGAGAACAGAGCAAAGGATGCTAGGCAGACACCTCTCGACCCTGGTCCCCGTACAGGTGCTTTCCAGCAGGGCCTGTTCCCACGACTGCCACTTCTTGTACTCCGCCTTTGGCCTCTAGGTTGTCAACATTCTCTCACACACCCTGCCGGCCCCCTCAGTCTTACCACAGGATGCCCGAAGCACTAGAATCTCCCTCCTAATTACAGTCTCTGCCAACCATTCAAAACCTGCCTTCCTCCTCCTGTTCCCACCCCACCTTATTAGAGGCTGAAAGCGGGGAATGGCATCTCCGACACTGCAGCCTCGCGGGTGGAGCAGGCCAGAGGTGCCCGTGATCACGGCAGCAGTTGAATGGCCTCCCCTAAAAGGCCCAACTTCAAAATGGGTTGGAACTTCTCTGAGTAGACACGCCACCCACCCCCACCCACTACCTAAACCGGTGAGGCTTCACTATCCATCCATTCTACATGTCAAAACTCTGGCTAGTCCGCCAGAGCATCCACCACGGCCTGGAGCCTCTCTCATCCCTCCGGCATGGCCCATCTCCTCCCTGCAGGTGAACATGCTCGTTCTGGAGAGGCACTTGGGCATCCCCAAGCCATTCGGGCCCATGGTTAACAGACAGTGTTGCCTGGAAAAGGAAGTCCGGTGGCTGCTGGAGCCCCTGGGCTTGTCCTGCACCTTCATCGACGACTACAAAGCCTACCACCAAAAGCACGGCGAGATCCACTGCGGCACCAACGTCTGTCGGCAGCCTTTCTCCTTCAAGTGGTGGAACATGACGATGCCTTGATTTCCCTGGGTAGCTTGCACCAGTCTCGCATGTAGCAGTCAGTAACTTTCTTGGGAGCCTCACTGGGTTCTCTTGGTGGGAATTTATGAAGGTGATTTGGTCCTCTTGCAGTTCCCATTACTCTGTCCAGCATGGAAATGCTGACATTCCATTCATCCTTAAAATCATGTATGGAGAGCCATTAACAGGCGCGTTAACAACCCTTAAGGATACATCCTGCCCTCCAGGGTTCTAGGGGCTACCTCAGGCTGTTTAGTGTTTTTAGAAAGGAATAAGGAGGCTTGGAGGCTGCAGGCATACTCCACGCCCCCCCCCCCCAAAGTACACTGCCTGCCTGAGTCCAGGGAAGCTGGGATTATGACCAGTGCTACTGGGCTGGGTAGTTCACCCCTTGGACTTGTCCCAAGCGAGGACCCCTTGGAAACCTTCTTGGCTACCGAGAGAGAGGGAGGGCTGGCCCTTGTAGTCCATGCAGCACTAACTGCCACAGACCCCGGTCGAGGGCTGAAGCAGAGGACCTCAAAGGGCCAGGCATTCAGGTAGAGGAACGGCTCACCTCTCTCTCGTGTGTGTGTGTCCCTACAATGTGTGGCATAAGATCTCCAAGTGCCAGAAAGGAACAAGGGTGAGAAATGTACATTTCCAAGTAATTCTGAATGTCTGCAGACCTTTTTAAAAAGTTGTATCTTGCCAACAGCCTTCCCCCCCCCCCCAATTGTTTTCACATGCTGTTTTCATTAAAGTTCTGAAGAACTATTGAGTATTGATGGCACGGAGGTGGAAAAGGCATTCACACCCAACATGTTCTGTGTGTCTATGTGCACATGAGAGGGAGGGGCATGGAGAACTGCTCTTGGCCGAGGGGGGCTCCCATCCCACTCCAGAATCTCTCGGTTCAGAAACTTAGAACACTGGCAGAGGTGGTGGGCACTCCCACAGCCCCTGGGGATGCGGCCTTCCCCTACCTGCCAAGCCATGCCCAGAAGTCGGAGACCCTGGCACATCCCAAGTGCCACCATCAGCTTAGGCAGTAGCCCTTTACCTCCGCCTGCCACAGATGGAGTGCCTCCGTGCATTGCCAGGTTGAGTGGCAGAGAGTTCCACAGGCAAGTTTCCACTGTGCCTGAAGCTGCTATGCACTTTGGAACCTGTCTGACGCAGTGCCTCCAAAATGCATGGTGGGTGGAGTGTGTGTGTGTTTTGCACTGAGGAGGTCTACACAAGTTCATCCTGTATTTAAACATTTATTTTGAGAAATATAAAAAAAACCAAAGGGGGTAAATTACAGCATTAGGCTAGGAAACTTTCCTACCTTATTCAAATTCAAAACAGCCTCAGGAGTATTTCCAGCTCGGCTCCCTTCTTTCCCTCTCCCCACCCCCCACATTAGAAAAAGGGGTGCAGGAGAGGCCTCCGGGCACATCTGCGCTCAAAGAGTACCTGAGCAAAGTTTTTCCCTTCGGAGACACACGCTCTCTTTGGTGGCAAATTAAATTTCCAAAATACGTCTCCAACTGAGCTTTCTCCCCAAGAGGTGGTGAGAACTACATGGCAAAAGAAACAGTCCCACTTTCTGAAGGGGGGGGGGGAGAGGGAGGGTAACAGAATTGTTAAAAAACAACAACAACGCTGAACAGCCAGGACAGCGGAGAGAAGGGAACTGTGTAGAATGGCTGTGCCGATTTTCGTTTCAAAAAGGCCACGCGGCACTACCCCCGTTCCCCTCTTTCCCATCCACTCTCTGCCCAGCGCTTCTGTAACCCAAACTTTTTCAAGAACCAAAAAAGTAACAAGACATCAGACACTGCTGGCTCTGGGGCCCCCATGCTTTCGGAGAGCACACAGGTAACAAACAGGAGAAGGGAGGGTGGCAGAGGGAGAAATGCCTGAATATAGGCGTTCATAGTAACAAGAAGAAAGAACAAACGTGGTCTCTGGTTCAAGGCACCGAATTTCTCCAGCATGGCACAGAGGGGCAGAAGAACCTGTGGGCGGTCAAGTCCGGGGGACTGCAGTCAGGAGACCGGCCACTCCACTTCCAACCTCATCTCAATCCAGGTTCCCCCTCCAGTACTACCTGGGGTACCTCTTAGCGTGGGGGAATTGTTTAGTGACACATCCTTGGCCCGTTGCTGTGCGTGTCTAGGCTGAACAGAAGGGGCTCCCTCCAAATGCGGGGCCAGCAAGTCCCAGCTGCAGAGAATTTGGCCCTCTGCTCTGTATGGAGTTAGCCCTGCTCAATGGCTGGCGGAGGAGGGAAGAGGCGCTGGAGCAAGAGAAGCCCTGCCCCCTAACCTGTCTGAGCCAGGAGTGTCAGAAAACAACCACCACTCCATTCTCCCATGCTTGTACAGCCTTTGGAGATGCCCTCGTGTGGTGGCACCTGTAAAGGCAGGGGAAATGCTAGCTTGCCAGGGAGGTCCCTATAAGAAAATGTCACTTTCTAATCTCCTGCCAAGAGAAGGAACTGTTCAGCATACAAGAACGATGCAGGCCCAGTTGGACTCCCAACAACATCCTGCCATGTGAGAGCTCAACCTTAAGTACCAAGGAGTGAGTGGATGTTCCCACTGGCTCACGCCGAATGTTCTCTGGGGTGTTTATGTGGCAGGTGCCTGTTTAAGCAGAAGGGAGCGAGAAGCCCCACAAGCCCCCCTACAGAGGCCTCCTACTTACCCCTTGTTTCTAAGGAAGTGGAGTAAAGGCGAGAGGGCCCTTCTACAAAAGAGGAAAGCTTTTGCGGGCGAAAGAGTTCCGGCCACCACCTTTCTTCAAAATGCTGCTTTCTGGTCCGCTGCTTAACCGTAGCCAGATTAACAAAAAGACGAGTTGTCCCAATTTTGACAAAACAGTCCTGCCATTTTCATTGGAATGGTAAGAGGTCAGGCATGAGCAGATCTCGTCAACATAACTCACCCCCCCCCCCCCCCGCAACAAAGAACCAAAACAAAAATACCAATACAAAACAAGCCATCCTTTGGAAAGGGCAGACGGGGGTAGGAGAAGGGGAAGAGTCATAGCAACAGGCAGTCAAGACGTGAAATTGCTCATAAAACCCAATCTCTGGTAGCCCAACAGGCGCCGGCTCATCGATGTCGGCCACCTCTTCGCCCGACTCTGCGTCCCAGTGCACATCGGAAGGGGCAGCTGCTTCGGAGAGGGCAGGCGGCCCAGGCTAGAGCGTGCGCGGGTTGTATTCTGGCAGCTTCTTGAGTCTCTCCTCCTCGGCTTCACTCTCGTCGCGGGCGATGGCCAGGGAGTGGGCGTAGCCCATGGTGACCTGAGCAGACAGACAGAGAATGCAGGCCACTCCGCTTGGGTGGTGGATTCGGTCTCACGCCAGGAGGCCACTTCTGGCTGGGGAAGGGGCCATGGGGGGCTCCCTCGTGGCTGTTTCTGCTCCTACCTGCTCTGTGTAGATCCCATCCAAGGTCTTCACTTCTTGAGCTGCAGTTGAAGACTTGGGCTTGTGGTCTCCGTAGCCCTGAGGAAAGAAGGCAAAGGGCAGACGTCAGAGCCGAGAAGGCCAACGGCTGCCGTGGAAGTCACCAGCCAGCAAACTCAAAATCTGCTTCTCTCGCCAGCAAGATTAGCTTCCTGTGTTGGGAAACAGGCATGCTTCGTAATCTCTGGAAGTCAAAGTGAGCATCTTAGGTACTCTGCTCATACTGGCCTGGAAGTCCTTTGGAGAGCCAGGGAGTCCTGGGAGTCGTGCAGCATTCCTGGTCCGAAGCAACGTCATTTGTAGGAGGTACTCCTGTAGACGCTGGTGAACGGGTTCAAAGTGTAGGCCACAAAGGCCCGCACTCTGCTGTGTGCCTCTGGCCCAACCATTCGATCTCTGTACCCGCAGCAAACTAGCCACCCCAGAGAGTCACTGAGACGATGACACCAAGTGCCCGAGGCCTCTGCCACGGAGGCTGATCTCGGGGTTAAAAGTGAAGCACCTCCAGGGGAGGGATAAGTGGGAATTTATCGCTCCAGAGAGCGGAACGGGCCCAGAGATCAGTGTGCAGGCTTCGGGAAATAAATCTCCAATTTCCAGGTGGAAAATGGAGCCCATAAACAACGGCGTCTGCAGCGCAAACAGCGCCCGCCTGCCAAATGGCCTCTTAAAGAATACGTCAGACAGGCTCTGGCACTTGTGGGGAAAGCAAAGCGCTCTGCAATTTGATGCTGCAAGACCCACTAACGGTGCCGGGGGGTGGAGCTGAAGCTCTCCCCAAGGACCCAGCTGCAGAGCCCGGCCCAGGCCTTGCCCACAACGGCCAACAAAGCAGGTGCCAAGGAACGAGCCCGTGCCCTCACACCCACGCCTGCCCTTGCTCCACTCCTCAAAGGCTACTCGAAAGCTGCACTGCCTAGGTAGCGTTCCTTGAGACACTGAGATCTTACCACATAAGAGGCTCATTTACCAGGTCAGTGTGTTGGGTGCAGGGAAGGAGAAGAAGAGAAGAGAAGAGATTGGATTTATACCCCGCCCTTCACTACCCAAGGGAGTCTCAGAGCGGATGACAAACTCCTTTCCCTTCCCCTCCCCACAACAGACACCCTGTGAGGTAGGCAGGGCTGAGAGAGCTCTTGACAGAAACTGCTCTTTTTCAAGAACAGCTCTTATCAGAACTGTGGCTTGCCCAAGGTCATCCAGCCAGATGCAAGTGGAGGAGTGGGGAATCAAACTCGGTTCTCCCAGATTAGAGTCTGTGCACTTAACCACGACACCAAACTGGTTCCCCAAGGAGAGAGAAGACCCTCTGCAGAGACCCTTGGGCCAAGGTTCACTAGCATATTGTAAGTGTCCAGAAGAAATGTGCTGGGTGTGCCCAGCAGCAACAGAGAAGCCCCTGGTTTTAGCTCCCCACAGCCCCACGTGGCGGCCTCCTTACCAGTTCTCCATAGGTTGGAGACGGGCCCCAGCTGATGGTGCTCTCATCGGCAGCCACTATAACACTGCTTTTCCTGAAATAGGGAAGCAAAGGAGGTTACTGCTCAGAAAGCCCTACTGGCACCCACAACGGCCTCCAGCCAGAGGGACACTGACCACTGGAGAGCCCAACTCCCTTTGCAACTCCTTCGTCAGGCAAGAGTCTCTGAACCCTGTACTTAGACTGTAAAGCTCCAGGAGCTGAAAAGAACACCGCCCCCCCCCAGGCTGCACCTTGGGGATGAGTCGCATCCCATTTTGCAAACCCAAATGGTCAGAAATGCAAGCAATCATATGCCCCTCCGGTCCTCCTCAGGCTCAGACAGATGAGTAGGGCAGGTTCTTTTCTATTTAGGGGCAAGGAAGTCAGGGCTACCATTACTAAAAGATCCCTCCCCCCCTTTGGTTGATGCCAGGGAAAGGGCGAGCAGCAGGAACTCTGGATCATGATTCCCTTAGAAGCAACTCATAGATCCAGAGGAGTTCAGCCGTCTTAGTCTGTGGCTGCAAAATAGTAAAAAGCCCAGTAGCACCTTTAAGACCAACACACTTTATTGTAGCATAAGCTTTCGAGAAACACAGCTCTCTTCGTCGGATGCATCTGACGAAGAGAGCTGTGTTTCTCAAAAGCTTATGCTTCAATAAAGTTTGTTAGTCTTAAAGGTGCCACTGGGCTTTTTACTATTTTCCTTAGAAGCAAGATTCTTTCAGTCCTTCTCTCCCACCTCCCATTAAACTGCCCGCCCCCAAAAAAGATTTCCTATTCACTTCCCGCCATTAGAAAGACAATGGAATTCCAGACCATTAGCAAACAGTACAAAGAAAGTTCACAACAAATCTAAAAGAACCTCTAAGCCCATTAGAGGCATAGAAACTGGTCTATTAAAAGCAACAATTAGCAAAGGTAAGATGACTCAACCCTCCCAACAGCTTTTTAAATGCAGCACTCACAGCCAGGGAGGCAGCGCACACATCCTTATGCAAAGGCAGATTCACCCCCCCACACACACACAAAAAAAAACCCCCAGTCCCAGTCCAGGGCACCAGAAGGTCAGCCCTTCCTGCTTTTTTGCATTTCAACAGAATCAGTTCCAGGGCTACCTACATCCCCACACAAAGTTCATCCTGTGAGACAATGATTCAGGGGGGTAGCCCCTGTTGGTCTGAAGCAATAGAACAAACTTTGAGCCCAGTGGTACCTTTAAGACTAACAATGTTTAATGAAACAAAGATACTGGGAAGAGGGGGCACATAAACAAGACTGGAGGATCATGGCAACCCCGCACAAGTTTCCAGTTCTGAAGGTAATTCAACTGCACGTGTCAATCCTGTTAACAAGCTAACTCAGGACTTGGGGAGTGGGTAAAGCCGTTTGCAAACGTCCTCTTGCAACTCCTGCATTTCAGCATCTTGCCACCCTGCCTGCCCATTTCCTGGAAAGATTTCTCTCTTTCACACACACACACACTCTTACCCGCAACCCAGACTGCGGATTTTCCAGCCACACAGATCCTGCACGGTTTTGGGGTACATCGTGGACTCCCGTGAAGTGTTTGTGGCTCCCCAGAAAAACAGGCCACCTGCGAGACACAGGGAGAGGGAGGGGGAGAGTCAGGATCGGTCTTCTTGCGTAGCCACAGCTGTCTCTGGCACAGGTGGCTCCTGCAGGCATCATTCGCACAGTGCTGCGCTTTGGAATGCCAACAGGCAGGCCTTCTCCACCCTTAAGCCTGTCTCACCATTACTGTTTCTTAGACAAAGTCAGCCTCCCTGAAAAGGCAAGAACCTGAGGCCATCCAATAATAGACTCGCAGCAGTTTTAGGCACCATAATTAATGGCATTTGTAATTAATCAAGATGGGTGGCCATGTTTGTCTGTCTGTGGTAGTCGAAAAGAGCAAGAGTCCAAGCAGCGGCTCCCAAAAGCTCCTCCCCTGCCACAATTTTGTTAGTCTTGAAGGTGCCGCTGGACTCTGGCTCTTTTGTAATTAACCGGGGTGTATGTGTGTGTGTGTGGGGCAATCTGTAGGAATCTGCCAGAGGCAGCATACGGGATAAAATAAAAGCAAAGCGTTAGAAGATATTATTTAAAACCCAGTGTTTAAGAAGCCCCAACGCAGTATAAAAATAGGCAGCATAAAAACGGACCACAGACAGACCTTGGGCCAGGCTCGCAGTTCTTCGCTCCGGGACTGCCTTCTGCAAGCAGTCAAGCATCTCTGGTTGAGATACTCAGCCGCTGCCGCCACCAGGTAGGCATTGTGCTGTACACCCCCCCGCCCCACAACAGCTTACGTTTCTAAACATCCACCTCACTAACTGAATATGGCCACACGTACCCGTTTCACTGACAGCAAAGGAGCAGGTGTAGCCCGCGTAGATCTGTGCCGCCCCCCGGCCTGGGAAGTCAAACAGCTTGACCAGTCGGGGCACCATCTCGTCTCGCTGCTCAGCGTGACCCAGCCGGCCATAGCCCCCAAAGCCCCAGGAGAAGACCCGTTTCTGGGAGTCTAAAACAAGCTGAATGGAGAGAGGAGGTCATCATGGGCAAAAAGGGAATTTCAGGAGAGGAGACTTCACAGAGGACTTGGTTTGTGACATGACCTTAAAAAGAAAAGCCAGACACTGAGGATAACTGGAAGAAGAAGGGGTTGGATTTATACCCCGCCCTTCACTACCCAAAAGTTGTCTCAGAGCGGCTTATAGACTCCTTTTCCCTTCCCCTCCCCACAACAGACACCCCCTGTGAGGCAGGTGGGGCTGAGAGAGCTCTATTGAGAACAGCCCTTGAGAGAACAGCTCTGAAATAACTTGTGACTGACCCAAGGTCACACCAGCAACTGCATGTGAAGGAAGGAGAGGGGGAGGAGGAGTAGATTGGATTTATACCCCACCCTTCACTCAGAGTCTCAGAGTGGCTTACAAACTCCTTTTCCCTTCCCCTCCCCACAACAGACACCCTGCAAGGTAGGTGGAGTTGAGAGAGCTCTGACAAAAACTGCTCTTTTCAGGAACAGCTCTGACAGGACTATGGCTTGCCCAAGGTCATCCAGCAGGTGCAAGTGGAGGAGTGGGGAATCAAACCCGGTTCTCCCAGATTAGAGTCTGCGCACGTAACCACTACACCAAACTGGCTCTGTTCCCCAAACATTACATTCTCCTCTTCTCCCTTTTACCTTCCCAACCACCATCCTGTGAGACAGGTTAGGTTGTGTATGTGACCAGCCCAAAGTTAACCTGTGAGCTGCCATGGCAGAGTGGGAATTTGAACTCGGGTCTCCCAGATCAGTACACTACGCTGGCTCACGGAAAAGGATGAAGAAGTAGTTTAATATATTGGTACCCTTCTAACATGAATGAAGTACTTAAGCACACCAGAATGCCTCCTCTCTCAAGGTTTCTCTACCAGCAGAATTTTCCTTTCCACCTGCCTCATGTCTGGGAACCGAGATGTAAACTCTTGACTGCAATAATAGATCAATTGCAATTTTTTTCTGACACCGATAAATTAATATTTCTGCTGTCAGACGCAGACCCTACAGTTTCCTATAGGGTACCACTCTTCGCCTTAGCAGCTAGTAAAATCAGGGCCAAGAACATAGGACATTGAAATGAAATTGAACTGTAAAACGGCAATGTATGCGGCTGTGTACGTGTTTCTGGAGACGGGTATCTATATTTAAGGTTTTAATGAATTGAAATACTGAACGTGCAGATTTTTAGAGGTTATTATATTTTAAATCTAATTTGAATTCCAGTGCTGTAAGTTGTCTAATTTGTATATTGTTTAAATTTAAATTTTAAATGGAAATGACCAATGGCTACACAATAAATTTTACTATGACGACTACCTGCCTAATGTCATGTGGGTTTAATTCATAATGCTCACCATCAGTGTTCCCTCTAAGCTGAGTTAGTGTGAGCTAACTCAGTTTTTTAGCCTCCAGCTCGCATGTTTTTGCCTTTGCTCACAAAGGATGGCTCTAGAGCAGACTAATTTATGCAGCAGCCAAATTGCTCGCTCACAACTTTAATGCCAGTAGTAGCTCCCAAAGTAGAATTTTTGCTCACAAGACTCCACAGCTTAGAGGGAGCCTTGCTCACCATATTCTCTTTTTCTGGAAAAGCATTCCCCCCCTTCAAGTTTTCTGGGTTTTTCATCTTTCTATTAATATCAACAAAGCTCACAAGGGAATCTTGGGCCAGGCACTGTGTTGCATCTCACCAACTTTTTTGTTGGTGAAAGAGGAAGGAAGGAATTCCATTTGACCCCCCCCCCCGAAGCCTACGCTGGCAACTGTGGACCTTGCATGGATGAGAGCCACATGGGACAGAGGGCGGAAAAGCTGGCAGGAGCCAACCCACTCTTTCTCCGTCTGTCCTACCTCACAGGGTCTCCAAGAGGATAAAAATACGGAAGAAGAGAACAATGTACGCTATCCTGAGTTCCCTGGAAGCAGGGAGGCAGGCAAGAGAGGAGAATCGTGCCAACTTCCCATGCCCGTCAGCCAAACCCCCCCCCCTTCTCTGGGGCTTCCAAAGGCTATGCTAGCGCTCCTTACCGTGTGGTTCGCGCCACAGGCCACATCCCTCACAACCACATTTGGTACAGGAAGGACCTGGCCGTCTTTTGTCTTTTCTATGAAGATGGCAACGCGGCGGGGAACCAGCTCACAGTCATACTCTATCCTCTGTGCTCGGGCGATGAACTTTCCATCAGAGTTGTGCCCTGCGTAGGACAGAGGAAGATCAGAGAGAAGAAAAACATGAGGCTGATAGGCACTGATTCAAAGCAGGCAAAAGGAACCAGTTCAAAGCGCTGCACACGGCCCACTGGCAAAACTCTGTGCGGTGAGGAGAAATGCTTAGTAACGGCTGCTAGATTAGATGTCTTTAAGAGAGGAGGCAAATTTCAGGAGGAAGAGGCCCATCGGTGGATGAATGGAACAGACCCAGTTCAGAGACACTGTCCCTCTGACGGCCAGCTGTTGCGAAAGGCCTTGGCCTCTGTGCCCTGCCCCGGGGCTTGTCAGGGAGCAACACGCTGGCCTAGGTGGACCCCTGTACTTTTTTCAAAAATTATGTATAATTTTTATTTAGGAATTTAGTAACAATACAAGGTAAATGCAATAGATGTCTGCAGATGAAGTACAAAAATAGGTTAGGAAAAAACATGCATGCTTAACTATGTCCAGGCTGAAGACTCCAGAGGACTGTATTACACACTACAAAACATCTCTTATGGCAACAATCGTACAATGAATATATATCTTTACAGGCAGATTTTAAATCAGTGTTCTGAAAGTAACTTCAGATATTATCTAAGATCCAAGCCAAATAATGTTTCAAAAGTATATAATTGATTTGTATAAAGGATTTGCTGGAATTACACCAGATTCAACCATATAGTTAATGAGTGAATACCAGGATGCTATAAATTTTTCTTCAGATTTGCTGGAGGAAAGGTTGAGAGTGCTACTGTGGACCACTGTTCTGACCCAGAAGGGCCATTATGTATTCATGCCCCAGAAGCAGATATTGTGTGTTGGGAGAAAGGTTAAAACGCTTGGGGCTCTTTAGCTTGGAGAAACGACGGCTGAGGAGTGACACGATCAAGGTTTATAAGATTATGCATGGATGCAGCAGGTCGAGAAAGAAGTACTTTCCTCCCTTTCCCAAAATACAAGAACTCGTGGGCACTCAATGAAATTGCTGAGTGGTCGGGTTAGAACAGATAAAAGGGAGTCCTTCTTCACCCAAAGAGTGATTAACACATGGAATTCTCTGCCACAGGAGGTGGTGGTGGCTACAAGCATGGACGGCTTCAAGAGGGAATTAGATAAGCATATGGAGCAGGGGTCCATCAGTGGCTATTAGCCACAAGGTATAGGTAGGAACTCTCGGTCCGGGGCAAGAGATGCTCTGTATTCTTGGTGCTTGGGGGGGGGGGCAATGGTGGGAGGGCTTCAAGTGTCCTGGCCCCACTGCTGGACCTCCTGATGGCACCTGGTATTTTTGGCCACTGTGACACTGAGTGTTGGACTGGATGGGCCACTGGCCTGATCCAACATTGGCTTCTCTTATGTTCTTATGGATGAACATATGGAGCAGAGGTCCCTCAGTGGCTGTTAGCCACAAGGTATGGATAGGAACTCTCGGTCTGGGTCAAGGGACGCTCTGTATTCTTGGTACTTGGGGGGGGGGGTCAACAGTGGGAGGGCTTCTAGTGTCCTGGCCCCACTGGTGGGCCTCCTGATGGCCCCTGGTCTTTTTGGCCACTGTGTGACAGAGTGTTGGACTGGAGGGGCCATTGGCCCGATCCAGCACTGGCTTCTCTTATGTTCTTATTAGATACAGTCAAAGAAAGAAGAGTCTGGAAAAGATGGGCCACTTACCCAGCTGCCCATACTCAGGGCACCCAAAGGAATAGAGGTTCCCCTTGCAGTCCATTATCATGCTGAATTCAGCTCCGCATGCCAGTTTGGTGATCGGCTGCCCGTTGTACATGATCTAAAAAGGCAGAGTTTTTAAAAGACGGTTCACGCTTAAAGCCGCCAGAGGTCTTCTTGGAGGGCCTATTGCAGGTTGTGTGTGGGAAGTTAAAGTTGCACCCCCTCAGCTCTCTCAAAGGGCACACAACCAGCACTGGGCCAAGTAAGTTAGCTTCTCAATTACGTGCCAGTCCATTTGCTATTAGGTCCGCACAGATACACACATGGAGCACCGCACGGTCGCCACACATAAGACTGCACAAGGCCTGAGATATTTACTTTTGAATAGATGCACCATTCATTCCCTGTTCTACAGCAATCCAGGTTTTTGAGATCTTTGAAAGAGAAAGAAGTGTCACGCATTTCCAGCCCATAAACACGCAAGACATTCCCCACGGCAGAAACAGCTGATTTAGTTCCCTGAGAGCGGAACTGAGCTTCACTGAACACCTGCAGGATCCATTCACTGTTCTGTTCCTTGTTAATAAAGGGGGAGGAGAAGTTGCGGCGCCAACCTGCGTGGGACTGGGGACAGCATCCGTCTGGTTACCGAGGCCCAACTGGCCCATCTTGTTCTCTCCAAAGGCAAACACGGAGCCGTTCTCTGGAATGCAGAAGGGGAAGAGGCTTCATGAACACGCCCGCCTCTTGCCCCTCCAACGACAGTCTCCCGTTTTTGGCTTTGGGGCCCAAAGTTCCCCAGGGTGCCCTTAGCATTTTGCCCTGGTTGACTCCGGACTGTGTGCGAATCTCTTCCCCCACCTTCTCTCTCTCGCTTTTTCTTTCCGTCCAGCCCCATCTAACCCTCTTTCCTCTGCCTCCTCTTCCACCCATTCTCCCCACCAGACCCTTCTTCCGCTGTCCATACTGTCTACTGCAAGGGTTTTGCTTGTATTCCCCTCTTGTTCAACTTCCCTCTCTCTCTCTCTCTCCCCTGCCCACAGCACACAGGTCCTCCCATTCTCAGGCCCTGTGTGAGGCCTCCCCCTGTTCAATGTATATTTTTCTTTCCTCTCACAAAGCTGCCGCTCCCACCTCTGGCCCTGCGATGCCGCCTGTTTCCCTCTGAGCAACTGGAATGCTTGACAACATTCTACAACAGCACAGCAGGCCAGCGAGTGGTGCTGCGAGCTCACATAAAACCTCCTGTACCTGTCAGGGCTAGGGTGTGGTTTCGGCCACAAGCTGCCAAGACAACTGTTTCACTGCCGAGTGCTTCAATGGCCTTGGGGGCATCTACACGCTTGGTGTCTCCATGTCCCAGCTGCCCTTTGTCGTTACGTCCTAGAAGAGAGTCACACAAAAACACCATGCCATCAAGATTACACATACACAAGACAAGACATACATGCACCCTTTGTTTTTAGAGACAGTCCACAGAAACCCAACCAAGCAGTTACGATTTTGCCTAGCTTTCTAGATCCCCTCCACCACCCGGGAAGGGATCTTTTGCATCCCCATAGCTCTCTCATGAGGGCCTCAGGCAAGGGTCTTCACCAGCCCTGGTACCCAACATCCTTTCACCTAAAGATGCTTTGCACCTGTTTTGCAGATTCTATCAGGAGGAACGAGATCACCTTATACTGCCCTTTCTATTTAGATTTAACCCTCTGCAGTCTTAACTTGATTTTAGGCCAGAAGTCCTACGCAAATTCCTCCTAGAAGACATTCAGAGTTCAGTGACTTACGCTGTGGCGAAATTTTGTTTCTTAGCTATTAGGGAACGTAAACTTATTTTAGCTGGAAAAACCCTGTACATTTTCTTATTATTAGTATTATTTTACTAATTTTATTAATTTTCCCTTGTTAATGTTCTTTTTTACTATTGCTATGTTATTTATTACTGTTTTAATCTCTCTTACGTCAGAATTGTACTGCTTTACTGGCTCTTGCTGTAATAAATTACACCGATTAGATGCTCTCAGGGGTCATTTCCTGCAGGACCGCACAGGAGCGGAGCTCCGGCAGTGAAGAGCCCAGGGGGTGGACACATGGAACAAGCCCCACCCCCTGCTCCCAGCAGCCCTCAGTCAGAGCAAGAAGCAGCCAGGTAAGTTGCAGAGCTCCCCCCAGCCCAAAACAGTCCAGTGGCACCTTTAAGGCCAAGGTTTATTCAGGTACAAGCTCTCCCTCCACTGCCAGGACAGATCTGCACGTCCATCCGCTCCACCAATAGCTAGCAATCCAAAACAGTCCAGTGGAGCCTGAGCGGTGGGTGTTGCCTTCTGACACACTTCAGGTGACGCCAGGGGGTGTGGCCTATGCTAATGAGCTCCTGCACCTCCTCTTTCTCTACAGAATGACCCCTTGATGCTCTGCACCGAACCAGGGCCCCCCTTGTGCTCTCCCCCACGGGCCCTCCATGAAAGATCAGCAGGGAGTCAGACTGCCAGTCCACTGAACAGACTGTTGCCTGGTCTGTCCAGCAGCACTTCTCCAAGGTCTTCTCCCAGTCCGGCTGCGCAATCTCCTTTGCCACAAGATTCCAGGGAAGCTACCTGGGAGTTTCTCCATGCAAAGCAGCCCCCCCCCCCCCGCACTGCGCTCTCCTCCCCCAC